AATTGCATTTTACAACAGGTCACTTGATTTGACGGTGTTTTTGATGACACTGGGGACCACAAGAAGTTTTAAGTAAATTTTGAGAAGCCACACTTTCCACTAGCAAATGAAATTGGCATCGTTGTGTGCGTCCTGAGAGATTCGAAATTATTTAGAAAAAAATCCAATAAATGGCTGCTGCGAAAGTGTCAGAGCGCACTAACGGGCATTATCCGATTTTACAAACAGCCTGAAGTCTCTAGATTCTCAAACACCGGTTCCCCATCATCTCCTTCTTGCCATGTTCAGCATAGCTTCAGTGTAAACACGTTTTACGTGCTGGCAGAATGTCTTAATGCATCTAATTTTTGGATTTCATAAGGCATCTGGAAAACTGTAAAGGCCATAAAGCGATTTCCGTGTCTCAGAACTTTATTTCAAAATCGTTGTCTCCAGCATAGAAAATACTGATATTAAGATTTTCTTCTGTGTCAAAGATGGGCTGGATGTAGGCTGTCCTGTTAGACAAGTGTTCTTTACTCTTTTCCTGTTCTTTTCTTTGTTGGCAAACCTGGCATCAAATGTCAAGAAACTCTGTCATTTTTACTTTAACAGTAACAATATTCATTCTGTAAACATGATTGCTTTATTTTTACTGAAATGGTTTTTAAACTTTCAATGATTTTTCAGGGCACCGTGTGCATTAAAGTTTGATTCCTGCATAATTTTACTATGACGTTAATTTTACTTAAAATAGTTTGTCAGATGGGCACAAAACAAATTGAAGGGAGTTAAAAGGCCTGGTTCTGACTTGCACTGTGGAATCTCTATTTTCACTAATACCAGTGATTTCCAAAGGAACACCGTGCACCGCCTCTGATGATGTCTCGGCTAGCACACGGGCGTCTCAAAGCAGCACGTGCTGAAGCCAGCCCAGCCCCACGCCCTCAGCCGCCTTCCTCCCCACGTTCACCGGGTCCTGGGGTCCGGAAACAGCGGCCTAGGTTCCCTCGTTCTCACTCCTGCACCGTTAGCAGGTCCTGCTAACTCTGGCCTTTCCTGGCTTGGCTTCCCGTCTGCCGGAGGCTCCGAGGTTCTCTGAGCCGAGTCGGCCAGCGCTGTGCACTGATGAACTGAGGCAGCCAATTCACTTACAGACCGGGAGGGGGCGGGATTCCGTTTTCTACAAATCCGAGTAGGTTCTACCAGTGACGCCCATCACAGCAGACCTGCCGCTTCTCTCCTCGCCCTGTGACAGTCAGTCCTGCCCGTCTTCCCCCGGAGGGCGTGAGCTCCGCTAGGCGGGGAGTCATGCCAGGTACCCACACACGTGTCCATCTGGATGCCGTCCTTAAGTGGAAGTGTTCCTAACGTTTGAACTGCAGTGACTTAGCGTCTCTGTCCAGGCCCTCCCCCCCGCAAAGCCAGGTTCCCAGGGGTGCGTTTCTGTGATCGTCTCAGCGCTGGACAGGAGGTCAGAGCTGGGTTCCGTCTGGTCTGCCGTCTGAGTTCAGTGAAACCTCGGACACTGGTCCCAACATGATGTTATTCTCTGTTTGACAAGGAGACGGTGAAACGGGTCTCTCCAGCCTTTGTCGCCCCCACACGGGGGATGCCGAAAGCGTGGCTTCCCCTCCCGCGTGCTGTACTTAAATTTCACTTTGCAGTCTTTCCACTTGAAGGCCGGCACTCGCTGGTATCTGATGACGCTGATAACAGTCCTGTGTCTGGGCTGAAAGCTCCTCGAGGCCCCTGGTGGCGCCGGGCCGAGAGGCAGTCACTCCCCAGGTCACAGGCAGGGCGGCCAGGCCAGCCTCAGGCCCAGGGGCCAGCGGACTCCAGAACCCCCTCACGGCTCCACGCCAGGCTCAGGGGCTCAGAAGCCAGATGTGTTCCCGGAAATGTCGCCTGCGATCCAGGAGAAAGCAGGGTGCCAGGTCCTGGTGAGTGTTGCCAACTCCTACTTTATGCCTAAAAATGGAGCCTATGTGGAATCACCTGGGAGGTGGTTCCTATTTCACCCCCCTCTTCGCAGCCCTGCCTGATCTCCGACCTTTGCCCTGGGGGGCAGCCACTTGCCAAGAGAAGCACAGAACTGGAGGAGGAGGGGTGGGGCTGCTTTAGGTGCACGTGAGGGGCTCACCTGTGCTGCCCCCGGAAAAGCTGTTTACACCTAGACCTGCAGCACCTCAGGAGGTACCCTGTTTGGAAACAGGGTGGTGGCAGACATAATTAAAGATGAGGTCAAACTGGAAGGGGGTGGCCCTAATCCAATGTGACTGGTGTCCCTACAAGAAACAGAGAAACACAGGGACAGACACACAGCCTGGTCTCTGTTTCCATTGTCACATGACCTTCTGCTCCGTGTCTGTCTGTTTGTCCGTCCTCTTCTTATGAGGACACGGTCACATGGGGTCACGGCCCACCCTCCCCTGGCATGACCATATCTTAATGGGTTACACCTGCAAAGACTATTCCACGTAAGGCCACGTTCCCTGGTTCCAAGGGTTAGGACATCAGCATGTCTTTTTGGGCACAGTTCAAACCACCGGCATCCTTAGTGATCCCCACCCAAGGCTCCAGGTGTCCCCGCCCAGACGCTGGGGCAAACGCTGCCCCACCCCTGTCTCGTGCCCGCAGGACCCCTGCCCCTGCCACCTCTGTACCCCCTGTGCTTTCCAGAGCACCCATGTCTTGCTGGAGTGTTCCCTCCCCAGGAAATGCTTCAGAGCCTGACCTGTGGTTCCTCCAAACCCCACACACAGATGCAAAACCTTCTGAGAGACTGGCCTACCTGCTGAGGCTCCTCACCGTGATGGGGGAAGGCTCCGACTCTGAGAGGCAGCCAGGAGGGCACTGCGAGGGTCAAGTCCTTGCGCCAAACTCAGAGCCCAGGATCTAGAAGCTCGACCCAGAGAGGCGCTTCCCTCAGGAGCGCAGCATGCTGTCATTGCTACACCTAACGAGGGCTTTAAGGGTGAAAAGAGAGTTTGCGTCTCTTTCATAGCAAGTCTTCTACATGGGATGCATGTTTTATGCTGACAGTTTATTTCACTTTGGACCAGCCCCATTTCAAGCAGTCAACGGCCACATGTGGCTGGTAGCTGTCCCACTGTACAAAAGAAATTTACAAAATAGCCCCAAAGATGATCCAAAGCAGCCCGCTGAGCGGGGTGGGGATCCTACAATATGGCCACAGAATCTCTGCCACTCCTCCCTTCCACCGGATGGGAGCTAGGCGCAACAACTTGCTTCTGGCAAGTAGATGAGGGGGGACATCTCAGTTGACACATGCTGTGAAGAAAACTGAAGCTGGGAATTGGTGGGGATAAGGAGATGCAGGCATTTGTAAAATGATGGTCAGAGGCGGCCTCAGGGAGAAATATCTCTGGGATGCTCTGGCACCTGGGAGGGGGTGGCAGGTGGGTCTAGGATGAAGCCCGCCTCTGCCCTTTCTCTGCCCGCAGCTGTCCCAGGCCCCTGCACTGGCCGAGCAGTGGTTTGGAACATCCTTCCCTCACTCCTAAAGGTTTCTCTGCAAAGTTACCATGTCAGCGATGTTCCCTGGTCGCCGGCACAGGTTAGGGCCTGGTAGATCGGGTCAGCCAGTGAAGTTCGGGTTCAGGACTGCTCACTCCCAGCCCCTGTCTTCCCAAGCACATCCCAGCCCTTCCTCGGGGTTGCATCAGCTTCATGTCCCCTGGCAGCTTACCCCGCGCACATCCAGCTCCTAACACGCTGGGCTCGCCCCACACCCGCCTCGCGTCCAGCTGGTGAGTTCTGGGTCCTCCCGCAGGACACCAGGTCCCTGGGCGCACCTCCCTGCTGCCATGCACTGCGCTCTGCACGGCGCCTCCCCGGCCAGCGGGTGCGCGCGTGGCTGGCTGGGGACGTTTCCAGTCTGGTGCCCAGGCCGTCAGGTCAGCGGGGGAAACACCTGAGCCCCCACGAGCTTCCGTCTCCTGGCGACGTGCGCTCACGCTTCGGATATGGACGCCACCAGGGCCCCTGGGCCCCTGGGCCCCTGCGACCCCGGGAAAGTGCGACCCAGGAACCCTGCGATCCCGTGATCCTGCAACCCTGGGAAGGGGCAACTGGGACTGTGCAATCCCAGGGCTGGGCAACCTCCGGGAGGTGCGACCCAGGACGCCCAGTCCCTCCGGCGGGTCCAGAGAGGAGGTTTGGTGTCCGAGGCGGGCAGGGGCGGGGGAGGGGCGGGGCGTCAGAGAGGAGGTGGGAGAAGGCGGGGGCGGAGCGGGGCGGGGTACGCGGGGAGGGGC